ATAAACAATACACATATGCTTTCAATTGTGTAATTTAAGTGATCTAGGTAGCTCTATTTTGGAAGTTCAGTTAACGCTAGCAACGTGCTTTGGAGTTTGTACATGCTTTTTAGAGTTTGTACTTCTTTTGAAGTTTGTACGTGCTTTGTCTCTAGGTGCCACCGTATGTATTTATATATAAACATATATAAATACATACCAAGTTTTCTCACATTAGTAATTCCTTTGGTGCATAATTTTATATTGTTGTTGATAATGAATTAATTAAAGCAATAAAACAACCTGAAGAGCCGGTTGAGAGCTGAAAGAGCCGGCTGTTTTTAGTGAGTCGAGCCGAAAGAACCGGTTCTCTAAAAACAGTCGAAACTCCCATCACTATTTGTAACACTTCTTCCTGTTGGAGCAGAGCCAACGTTTTGTGGCGCAGTATTTTTAGGACCGACATGTTGAATCCATCTCTAAAACACATCTACACAAAATATTCATTTATGAAGTCTGCTTTCAATCTCCTGTTGTCCCTGTGATATCAACACACGGAGCTCAGGCAACATTCAGTGTGTTTAATCTGATTCTCTGACTCTAATCGCACACTAACAGAAGATGGCGGACACACCCAGGCTCCTTAGAAAACATTACACAGTGACTCTAATGGAGAGACCGGGAATACAAACACACAGTTTGTTGTGTGAAGAAATCAAACATGAGCTGAACAAACAGTAAAGTTCCTAAAGACAAACTGTTAAAGGAGGAAACAAAGCAAACTTACAGTTTCTTCAAATACCAACAACAAGCTCCACTCCACGAAGTTCAGGAAAGTGAAAGTAAACTTTGAGCAGGAAGGAAAGAGAGGTGTTCGAGGACAATCAGGAGAATCGAAACATTGTGTGCTATGTTCAGGAAATCTCGGAAACTTCCCGATCTCTGGTGAGTTGTAATCGTTTTCTGCTGGTTTTCCTGTTTGAAACACAAACATGTGTCGTCACTTTGTTGTTCTTCTTCCTGCAAAATTTGAATATTTCAGCAAAAAAAACAAAAAACAAAAGGTGTTTGTTCAAAGCTCATTTCAACATGTTGAAGTCATGAATGAACGTGCAGACTGAGAGTGGATCACATGATGTTTAAGGTGTGTCATGTGACATGTTCAGTATTGTTACACATGTCTAGATTGTCCCTGATATAATAACTGCTCAAACGCTGATGATTATATTTGGAGAATTTGAAGAATTATTACTGATAGCAGCAAAGTTTGAATGGAGCTCTCTGTCTGTGCTGATTTGTCGCCCTCTGCAGCAATGTTCCCTCTAAGCTTGTTTAGGGAGGAGGGGAAGTTTTAGGGGTGTTTAGAGATGTGAGAGATTTGCGATGTTTAGTGCAAATCTTGTGTAGTGAGTGTGTAGTGTAGTCAATAGTTTTGCGGTGTGTGTCAGAACAATGAGGCGACTGCTGAATGTTACAGGTGTTACAGCAGTGATACATCTCCTGTTGTCAGGCCTGCAGGTATCAGGCTGTTGTTCTCCTTCATCTCATAGTGGACAGAAATTATTTTTTGGAGTGGCACAAAAATTTGTGTGGCATCAAATTTGATGCAGAACAGCTGATTGTTCTGTAAATAGTTTGAAATGTTTATTTAAAAAATGCCTTGGCTGCATTTTTAGGTAAACAGCTGCAAAAAACTTTGTTTTACTTTTTTGTAGAAGTAACTATATAATTAATAGCCCAACATTGGTCATTATATACTGTACTTTGTAGACAGAGAGTTAAATGATTCTCTCCCAGACCACAGACTCATATTCATAATACAAGTCAAAGCTTTATTTAAAAAAACAAACAAACAAACAAAAAAAACAGTTGCGTTTTCAAATTGGACTTCAAGTTATTTTTACTTCCAATAGTGTTGACATACTACAGGTCATGAACAAGATTTTTTTTTTAATTGTCATTGTAAGTAGGCTAAAGCAGTTAATTAAAAGTAGTCTAACATAAATGTAAATGCTGTAATTTGATTATTTTAATAAACATGTAACTTGGATGGAGTCGATGCTGGCGTGACCACAGTGCACACGTCTGCTGTTGCTCACAGTGGTCCAAGGGACCGCTCAGGGAGTTTGTGTGTTTGCTCAGACACATGAAAAATTAGAGGTAACATTGGTGATGAGACCTTTGGTTTGTGTAATGTTACTGCGGGTGACGGCGTGGGAGCTGCAGGTGTTGGAGCAGAAGTTCGCTGAACGGACTCACCAGAGCGGTCAGCAGACACTGAGAGATGCTGGACAGGCGCTCCAGAACCCCCAGCTGACGTGGCATGAGGCTGGACGGGCTCCTTGGGCCCACCAGTTGACAAAGTGAGATGCTGGCTGGGTTCACATGACATCTTACAGTTATCAGTCCAGAAGCAAACAGGCGTTAGATGTCCTGAGGCAGGGGCCAGTTCATTTACTTCAAGACTCATGTTGGCTGTCATAATAGGCTCAAAAAACAGAAAGCCCTGTGTTTACATTCACAAAAGAATTAATCATCCTCCTGTGGCTCCTGTGGCTGACCCAGCTTATCTGGGCCATAAAGATATGTGATGAGATGTCATAAAGATGAAGACTGAAAGGGAAAACAAGGATTACAATATTGCCCAATAAGCTCCTGGGCAAACATGAAATATTCAGGTATGAATCTGGTTGATGAGAACTGAACAGCATGATAGCAGTAAGTGGTACATTTACTCGGAACCACGCTTGAAGTGGACTGTAACTTAAGAGTGTCGTTTAGAGTGTATGGAGAAATGGGTAGAGATAGTTAGCTAGCACCCTTAGCTGAGACAGGTGACATTTCAGGCTGGATCGCCTGATCTCAGCCTCAATCTTCTTATTGGAGGTGGCAGTGCTGGAGGTAAACAGTCCAAAAACACCCTGCTTAAGATTCTGAGGAAAACAGAATTCTGGTTGGGACATTTCACAGTTCATATTACCATGATTTGAATCCATATTGTCATCTTTAAGTTTCAACGTGAGTTCATGATCAGCATTTTCAGTTTTAAGTTAATTGAAAATAGGTGCAGCAGGCAAAATGTGATCACACATCACCTCACACTCAGTCTTTTCATACTTTATTTCATGACCTTCCTCCTCTGAAATATCCTTACTTGCTATGAAAGCACGAGTAGCTCATTGGTGAGAAGAGCGGACTCAGGAAGCGAGGCGTTAGCCACAGATAACTCAGTTTTTGATGGAACCCCAGGCACATTAAATGGCACAGGAGAAAACACTTCCACCCCACTCCCCACACAATTAACATTAAGGTCTGTGGAAGTCTCTTTCAATATAAGCGTAGCGTCAGAGGTCCTTACAAGATTACTAGGTTTGTCCATGATCATCTTTGGGACAACATCTCTTGGCTGTGGCTCGGTTAGTGCATTACTCAGCCTAAAGTTAGAACTGGCTAATTCTGAAACAGTGTCTTTATTTTCGTTAACAGAAACACACGAAACAGGGGATTCCCCGGTCGGCTCAGAGGCTGGAAAGTCAACTGAATCTAGTTCATCTTCTAAGGTTTCAATGGAGACTGGTGATGAAAGACTGCATTCACTCACCTCCGGTTTTTGCGCAGCGCGATGGCGACGCGAACGCCGTTTCTTCTTGATTGTAGTTTCCGATTGAACCAGACAGAGGCGCCTCATGCGCACCGGGCGGCGTGGCAGAGGCTGGGGAACTGGGTGCTGACGGAGCGGTAGGTGAGAGGTCCTGGAAGCTCAGGGGACCCCCGAGAGCCAGGCGAGTTACCCGAAAGATCTCTTCATAGTTAGGAGTGAGCCACGGCTTCCACCGGAGCTCTTCCTCCAGTTGAGCGCATGCAGCAGTGCAGTGGATGCAACTTGAATTTCAGTGGCAACTGGCTCCTCGTCCTCCCAACACATCCGTGCCAGATAAGAAGCGGGAGACGGGTAGTCCGATCGAGGTGGCGAGGGTGAACAACTGATCTGTGACGGCGAAGTGGAAACCGGCGAGCTGAGGGGCGGCGCTGGCGCAGAAGAGTGTGGCGGCGTGGCGAACTTCAGCGTGCCGACTCGCACGCTCACAGCAGGCGGTGGGGAGGCTGCGCGGCCGCGGGCTGCGGTGATGCAGCCCGCACACCGGGCCGCTGATGCTGGCACGGATAGGATTGGACGATGGTGCGGAGGTCGTCCGAGATCAGAGGGGGTAGCGCTTCCCATAAGCAGGGAAAAACCTTGACGCTTACCCACAACAAGTGAAGTAACTCCTCCCTCTCCTCCTCTCTAGAGCTTTGCCTCCACTGGCAGCATAACGACTCCACTGCCTGGATTACTTCTCTACTATGTGTCGCTGGGCCCGACATGGTCAGGTTGTACTGTCACGGTGGGGTGCGCCGGTATAAAAAAGAGGTAGACACAGATGCAGAGACGGTGGAGACAACACAAAGTTTCAAAAATAAAGCGAGCCTTTATTGTGGCTGATGGCACAAAAAACATGAAACTAGGGAAACTAAGGAGACTATGAACACTGTGTTAACAAACGGCTGTGACACTCAGGGAAAAAACTATGAAAAAACTATGAACACTGAGTAACTAGGAAACACAGTGAAACAATGAAGCAAACCTATGAACTCTGTGGTGAGGATAACAGACGACCTGACAAAGAACAGTGAGAGACAAAGGATTTAAGTAAACACATGAGGTGATCAGGGGAAGTGGAGACACAAGAGGAAACAGCTGACACACATGAGCCTAATGACTGGGCAGGGGAAGTGAAACAAATAACATACTGAACACTGTTGCCAAAGTGCTTGCTCATAGGGGGTCATATGATTGTTGGGTTTTTCTCTGT